ATCAACCATTCCTTGAATCAGAAATGGCTGAAGAGGGAATAGGAACTCATAATGGTGGACATGGACCAGCCAGGCCTCCAAGAAGGACCCTAGGTACGCACAAAAACATGGTCCTAGGCATTTCTCCAGTATTGCAGCTCCAAATACTTCTAGAGCTATGGAGATGAATCCTGACTTCCTTACTTTGGTGAGCTCCCAACAATTTGCTAGCCTTGATCATGAGGACCCATACTCACACTTTTCAAATTTCTATGAGTTATGTGGAACTATGGGAATTCCTGAAGGTGATGAGGAAGTTGAATACTTGAGGTTGTTTCCATTTTCTCTAACAAGAAAAGCTAAAGTTTGGTTACAATCTCACCCTAATCAAAGTTTGACAAGTTGAGGTGATGTGGAAAATAAGTTTCTTAATAGATTTTATCCATCATCCAAGTATATTAAGGCCAAATCAGAAATCACAACTTTCAGGCAAGGTGCAGATGAGCCATTTTATGAATCTTGGTGTAGATTTAATTCAGTGCTTAGAAAATGTCCTAACCACGGGTTTGAGGATATAGCTCAACTTAACTTCTTTGTTAATGGAATCAAGCCTGAGGTGAAGATGTTATTAGATGCAATAGCTGGTGGCACCATGATGAATGTGAGCCCAGAAGAAGCTACCCAAATTATAGAATCTTTGCTATCCTCTAATCACCAAGCAGAGCTTGGAAGACACCAATCTCATTAAAGAGGAGTTCTTGATCTAAGTACAAGAGATGCAATCCTTGCTCAGAACAAGCTGATATCTCAACGGATTGAAGCACTAACTAAGTAGATGGCCAAAATACCACAGCAACTTCATGCTATTGCTTCTTCCCCAGCTCAATCAAATGCTCCTTTAAAATGTGATTTTTGTGGGGGAGAACATCCCAATGCTCACTGTTCTGAGAACTCAAATGAAGAAGAGGTGAACTACGTGGGTAACGAACAAAAAGGAGGTAATTTTAATTCCCATAATTATAATACTAACAATTATATGCAGGGGAATCAAGGATGGAGAAACAACAACAACCAGGGATATGGATGGAGGAATGAAGCTGGACCATCCAATAGGCCACCACAACAACAACAGCAACAACAGCCTATTTATCCTTCTATGCATGAAAGAACCAATAAATTGGAGGAGACTTTGAATCAGTTTATGCAGGTGTCTATGAACAACCAGAAAAATACTAAGGCTTCCATCAAGAATTTGGAAGTACAGGTGGGTCAGCTAGCAAAATAATTAGCTTACATGTCTATAGGCCCATTTTCAGCCAACACCAAGACCAACCCCAAGGAGCATTGCCAAGCAATAACAACAAGAAGTGGGAAGGTAGTTGGTGCCGATGTTGGAGTGAGTGAGAAAAATGAAAAAAAAGAAAATGGTGAATTAAGGGAGGTTGAGGAAGAGATTGAGAAGAATGAGGAGGAAAGAAATAAAAATGAGAGTGTAGATAGTGAGAAAATAAAAGAAAAAATGGAGTGGAGAAGGAGAACAAGAAAAAAAAGGGCAAGGAAGTCATTTCAATTGTTCCCGTAATAAACTTACCTTACCCTCATGCTTCTTCTAAGAAAGAAAAAGAAAGATAGTTCTTGAGATTTCTGGATATCATAAAGAAGCTCCAGATTAATATTACCTTCACTGAAGCCATGGAGCAAATGCCAACTTATGCTAGGTTCATGAAGGAATTGTTAACTAAGAAGAGAAAAGTCCTTGAAGAAGAGACTGTAGAGCTCGAGGCAGGATGCAATGCTATTATACAGAAGTATCTACCTCAAAAGTCCAAAGATCCAGGCAGTTTCACTCTCTCGGTATCAATTGGTAATTTATCAGTGGGTAAGGCACTCTTAGACCTTGGAGCCAGTATTAATTTGATGCCTTTATTCATGCTGAAGAAGATAGAAGAAGTGGAAGTAAGACCTACAAGAATGACCTTATAGTTGGCAGACAGATCCATTAAGCTTCCATATGGCATAGTGGAAGATATGATAGTAAAGGTTGACAAGTTCATAATCCCAGTTGATTTTGTAGTCATGGACATGGAAGAAGATGTGGAAGTTCCATTGATTCTAGGCAGACCCTTCATGAAGATAGCTCGGGTTATCATAGACATGGATGATGGAAAGCTGAAGATGAGAGTTCAAGATGAAGAGCTGAATTTCAATGTCTTTGAAGCAATGATGTTTCCCAAGGGAAATAAAGATTGTTTCAGAATTGATGTATTAGATGACGTGTATCTAGGAACTCAAAGAAATTTCAAGAATGTCTCACCATTGGAGAAAGCTTTGTCTATGTTTGATGAAGAGTTGGATAAAGTCATAGATAAGGAAGTCCAGGATGTGGTTGATGCATTGAAAAAAGGTGAAAGCTCGTTAACCAATGTTCAGTCAAAGGAAGAATTGAAGAAGGAAGAAAAAGATCAGACAGTGAAGCTGGAATTGAAGCAATTGTCACCACAATTAAAGTATGTCTTCTTAGAAGAAAATGGTAGGAAGCCAATCATAATCAGTAGCTAGCTTATTCAAGTGATAAAAGCCAATGAAGGTGTTATTGGTTGGACCCTATCTGATTTGTAAGGGATTAGTCTGTCTTGTTGTATGCACGAGATTCATATGGAGCAGGATTATAACCCAGTAGCCTAACCTCAGAGATGCTTGAATCCAACAATGAAGGAGGTGGTGAGAAAAGAAGTGACCAAGCTACTTGAGGCTGGTATGATTTATCCTATTTCTGACAGTACTTGCGTTAGTCCTGTTCAAGTCATGCCTAAGAAAGGAGGTATGACTATGGTTTATAATGAGAAAAACGAATTGATTCCCACTCATACTGTGACTGGGTGGAGGATGTGTATAGACTACAGGAAGTTGAACCAAGACACAAGAAAATATCACTACCCATTCCCTTTCATGGATCAAATGCTTGAAAGGTTAGCAAGGCAAGCTTACTATTGTTTTCTGGATGGTTACTCAGGTTACAATCAAATTGTTGTGGATCTGGAAGACCAAGAGAAGACAACTTTTACTTGTCCCTTTGGTGTATTTGCGTATAGGAAAATGCCATTTGAATTGTGTAATGCACCAGCTACCTTTCAGCGTTGCATGTTTGCAATTTTTCTGATCTGGTGGAGCAATGCATAGAAATCTTCATGGATGATTTCTCCGTGTTTAGCTCGTCCTTTGAAGTTTGCCTTAATAATCTCAACACTGTTCTCAAGAGGTGTGTAGAGATTAATTTGGTGCTGAACTGGGAGAAATGTCACTTCATGGTCAGAAAGGGCATTATTTTTGGCCACAAAGTCTCTCAGAAAGGCATAGAGGTAGATCCAGCCAAGATTGGTATCAACTCAAAGATGCCACCACCAATCAACGTGAAGGGGATCAAAAGCTTTTTGGGGCATGCAGGATTCTACAGAAGATTCATAAAAGATTTCTCCAAGATAGTTAAGCCTCTTATTAACCTTCTTAAAAATAACAAGTTTGATTTTGATCATGATTATTTACAGGCTTTTGAACTGTTAAAAAGTAAGCTTGTTTCAACTCCTATAATCACAGCTCCTAATTGGAAACTTGATTTTGAATTAATGTGTGATGCTAGTGATTATGTTATAGGAGCTGCTTTGGGCCAAAGGAAGGATAAAATTTTTCATGTTATTCACTATGCAAGTAAAGTGCTGAATGAAAATCAAATTAACTGTGCAACAACTGAAAAGGAGTTACTTGCGATAGTGTATGCATTGGAAAAATTTCGTTCTTACCTTGTGGGTTCAAAGATCACTGTTTACACTAACCATGTTGCTATCAAGTATTTGTTGACAAAAGCAGATTCAAAGCCTAGATTGATCCGGTGCATTCTTCTGTTACAAGAGTTTGATTTAGAAATCAAAGACAAAAAGGGGTGTGAGAATCATGTTGTTGATCACCTATCAAGACTTGTCAATGAGCAAGTGACTAGTCAAGAAGAAGAAATCTTAGAAGAATTTCCTGATGAAAAGTTGTTTGAAGTGAGTGAAAGACCCTGGTTTGCTGATATGGCAAATTACAAAGCAGCTGGAGTTGTTCCTGAAGAGTATAACTGGCAAAAAAGGAAGAAGTTCTTTAAATATTCTAATTACTATGTCTGGGATGATCCGTATCTGTTTAAGATAGGTGTTGATGGTTTATTAAGGAGGTGTGTCTCTGGGGCTGAGATCAGAGATATTCTCCGGCATTGTCATAACTCACCCTATGGAGGGCATTATAACGGAGAAAGAACAGCAGCAAAGGTTCTCCAATCCAAATTTTATTGGCCAACCTTGTTCAAAGATGCATATGAACATTGCAAGAGTTGTGATAAGTGTCAAAGAACATGGATAAGTTCCAAGAGACACAAGTTAGCCCTGCAAAACATCTTAGAAGTGGAAGTTTTTGATTGCTGGGTGATTGATTTCATTGGGCCTTTTCCATCATCTTTTGGGAATAAATACATCCTTGTGGCAATTGATTACATTTCAAAATGGGTGGACGCCAGTGCTGTGAAGAAAGCTGATGCCAAAACTGTCATAAAATTTTTAAAGAAAAACACTTTTTGCAGGTTTGGATTACCAAGGGTACTAATTAGTGATGGTGGATCTCATTTTTGCAATGCTCAATTACAAAAAGTTTTGGAGCACTACAATGTAAGGCACAAAGTAGTTACGCCATATCATCCTCAAACCAATGGGCAAGCTAAGGTATCCAACAGAGAGTTGAAGAGAATTCTGGAGAAGATAGTGGCCAATTCTAGGAAGGATTGGGCTTTGAAGTTAGATGATACACTATGGGCCTATAGGACTGCATTCAAGTCTCCTATTGGATTCTCACCATTTTAACTTGTCTGTGGTAAGGCTTGTCATCTGCTAGTTGAATTGGAACATAAAGCATTTTGGGCTTAGAAGGCCTTAAATTATGATTCGAAGGCAGCAGGGGAGAAAAGAAAGCTCCAATTGCATGAACTAGAAGAAATGAGGTTGCAAGCTTATAAGTCTTCTAGATCTTACAAGCACAAAGCTAAGCTATACAATGACAAGAAAATTCTGAACAGGAACTTCCAACCTGGCCAACAAGTATTGCTGTTCAATTCCAGGTTGAAGCTTTTCCCTGGGAAACTCAAATCTAAGTGGTCAGGCCCTTTTTCAATCAAGTCAGTCAAATCATATGGGGCTATTGAACTTGAAGACCCTGCCTCTGGAAGGACTTGGTTAGTCAATGGTCAAAGGCTCAAGCACTATCTGGGTGGTGACGTTGAAAGACTCACTACCATTACTCAATTGAAGGAGCCATGAACATACAGCGATTGTCAAGCTAAAGACATTAAATTAGCATGTTCTTATTTAATTTCTAGTTTAAGTTCTGAATTGTGTGCTGAGTAATGTGTAGTTAAGAGTTTTTGTTTATTTATATGTTTGAATTCATAATGCATGTTGTTTGGGTGATGCATGTTTTATGATGTGTTAATATTATTGATTATAGTGTGAGTATTAAAGAAGTCATTTTGAAGTTCTATAGTTGAGTGTAGCATTAAAGGTGAGATGGTTATTCTGCAGTGTTTTAAGTTTGTGTTATGGATATGTTTTGGTGATGTGTTTGTGAATATTAAGGAATTGCAAGCTTTTGTATCTTGTGATGTGTTTTTGGTGGGGTGTAGTGAAGTATATCTGCCACTCAAAAGTATGTTTGATTTCATATTGATTAGGCAATTCAAGGGAAATTTAAGAATTAATTGGGTTTCCACATTCAAAGCTTTATGTCACATGCCTTAGAAAATGAATGTTGTCTAAATATGCTCTAGATAGTATACTCATGTGCTTTAAGGAATTTTGTTGTTTCCCTGAACTTAGAAAAATCAATGAAAATCTGTGTTCGAATGATTTTAAGCTTAGAAATCAAGTTCTAAGTCTCACTGCTACAGTGGTGCCTTTGGCGCCATGGCGCTAACTTTCTGGAACAGCAAAGCATCTTTAGAGCTAGAGTGCCAGTTTTAGAGCTATAGCTCTAACACTCTGCCCTGGTAGTATATAGTTGCCAAATCTTCACCGCTTCATTGCCAGCTCTTGTAGCTATGCAGCTATCTTGTTGCCAAAGCCCCTTGAAGCTTTATATTCTTAGTGCTCAAGCGCCAATTCCATCGCCCTAGCGCTAAGTTTCTGCTTAGCTTTTTGTGTGTACTAGTTTCCTTCGCTCTAGCGCCAGGCTCAACGCCAAGGCGCTAACTCTCTACCACAATTCTTTGGTTCTCCATATTCTCAGCGCTTAAGTGCCAGTTCCAACACCAAGGTGCCAACTCTCTAGAGTTCCATACAATCCCACTGCTGTAGCGCCACATTCATAGTTATAGCCCTCATTCTCTGGAGCCATTTTTTTTGTATCTTCAGTTTCAACACTTCAGCGCCAAACTCAGCGCCATAGCGTCAACTCCCGGGAACTTTCTTGGGATTCAATTATCCATGCTCCAGCGCTGGCTCCACGGCCATAGCGCCAATTTTCTGGAGCTCAATTTTGAATTTAAATCATCCACCGCTCCGGCGGTGTTTTTGGCATTTGAGCAGAGAGGCACAAAACGTTGATAAATGAGAGGTTTTAGGCAGTTTTGAGTCAATTTAAAAACTAAACACCTTCTCTACCTCTTCGTTTCTTCTTTTTCTCTCACTCACGAAACTCATTAACCTCTCTGCACTTCATCTTTCCCTCACATTTCCTCTATAAAGTTGTCACTTTTAGGCGTCAAGGTTCCATTTTTCTTTAATCATTTCACTCACAAACATTGAAGAGCACCTTGTTCACGTGATTTTCAAGGTAAAGTTTCCACCTTTCTCATCTCTTTCTCTTCATTGCGTGAAGAACACTTATAAGTTTTTCTCTCTTTGTGACCTTTTTCCCTCTCTGACTCTCATCATTGTTAGACTCTTTGGTCAATGGATTTGTGAGTAGTGATTAAATTGCTTTGTGGTTTAAAAAAAATTTAATTTTTGGGTGTTTTAAGAGTCATCTTTACACATGCATATTGGTTCCTATTTTCTGCCCACTCTGTGTTTGATGAAATGACTAAATGAAATTGGCAGTTCAAATTGATCTTGGATTGTCAAATTCTGGCATGAGGAATCAGATTGGCATAACATGGATTTGTGTGTCTCATTAATCTATAAATGTTATGCTTACAGTGAATTGTGTGTACATACCCTTGCAAATTTTGTGAACAAAATGAGTGATTGGGATGTTTATGCTTTGCCACTTTGTAGAGCCATGCATGTGTTAAAATACATCTTGCTTACCACCTCAATCTTTGCAATATATTCATGTCCCAAACTATATGTATCAAGAATTAAATTGTTTGGAAAAATTGCTTATCAAATTTTCAGATGGCTCGTTCAAGAGGTGGTGGTTCTCGGCCAACCCACGAAATTCTGGCTGGTCGCAAGCGAAAAAAGGTGGCAGCTCCTACTTCGAATTCAACTTCATCTTCATCCTCTGAAGACGAAGAAACCCCCACACCATCACAACCACCCAAGGGTTTCACTTTCTTACCCAACAGATTTCAGAACAAATTTAAACAACAAAGATTTATAAATCTAGAGGGCAGACACATCATTGCTGAGAGACCGGTTGTTGATTTCCTTCCTCTGTTGGACTTTAGTCATGAAGTCATCAGAAGAAATTGGACAAAGATATGTCAACCCAAAGAGAACTACAATGCAGTTCTGATCAAGGAGTTCTACACCAATGCCTACCAGACTAAATCTGATTCAAAAGATCGAATCTCTTGGGTACGAGCCATTTCAGTTCCTTATAGTCCGAAATCCATTAATGCATACTTGCAAACTGACTATGCCATTCCTTCAAAAGATGAATACCAAAATCTCATGCACACCATCATGGATGAAGATATGTCTGCTTTGATGCTGGAAACTCTAAGTCTTCCTGGTAGCCAGTACCAAACTGGTACAAAGCGTCAACCCACCCATATACTCAGAACGGACTTGAAATCTGTTGTCCGGTTATGGCAAGCAGTTTTATACAGCAATGTCTTTCCTCTCACCCACACCTCTAACATCACCATTGCAAGAGCAAAGTTCATATTCTGTATTATGCAACAGAGAGATGTGGACATTACTACCTTGATATCTAATGACATGCATGCCATTGTTCTTTCCAAGCCCTCAAAATCTGGAGCGGTGTGGCCATTAGCTTTTCCGGGACTGATCACTGGTATGTGCAAGGCAAAGGGAGTGCGTATTCCACAACCACTTACTCCCATAAGAAAGAAAATTAATCATGTGTTCGTCAAGGCCCAATGCTATAATCAAATAGAGTTTCCAAGAGTATCTAGAAGATCCCTCACACCATTACAACACCCTCCACCATCCATTCCTTCACCTCTAGCCCCACCAACTAGGCCCTTTGATTTATCCACTATGCAGACCTACATGATTCAATAGTTCCAGCATATGGATAAAAGTATGACTTGGGTGTAGATGGAGTGGTGAAATTAAAGATCTGATATGAATATCGAGTGCACTTACGCTTAGGTGCTTGATCTTTAGAAATGATCATAGAAGTAAACTAATATTGTGGCAGATGTCTTGATTAGCTGTCATTTTGTCAGAGAGAAGTTGCTATCTAAGGAAATTGTTACCAAATTTGTCACATCCAATGAACAACTTGCAGATGTTTTGACTAAATCATTGAGGGGGCCTCGCATTCAGTTTTTATGTTCCAAGCTTGGTGCATACAATCTGTATGCTTCAGCTTGAGGGGGAGTGTTAGAATAGCTTATTAGAGAAGCTGTTGTATTTTTTGACAATTCCTGAAGAACCACCAATTTCATCTCCTTCACCATCAAGTTCCCCTACTACGGGTCCGAATGATGATAGTTCAAGCTGGCCAATTGCCCTTCGCAAAGGTATTCGTTCGACTCGGAACCCTCATCCTATATACAATTTTTTGAGTTATCATCGATTATCTCCTTTATATTGTTCTTTTATCTCCTCTATATCTCCTTTAACCATTCCTAAAAATGTCCATGAGGCACTTGATCATCCTGGATGGCGACAAGCTATGATTGCTGAAATGCAAGCTCTTGAACATAGTGGCACCTGGGAGTTAGTTCCACTTCCTCCTGGTAAACAACCAGTTGGTTGTAGATGGGTCTATGCCATTAAAGTTGGGCCTGATGGTACAGTTGATCGACTCAAAGCCCGATTGGTGGCCAAGGGATATACTCAAATTTATGGCCTAGATTATGGTGATACCTTTTCTCCTGTGGCCAAAATCCCTACAGTTCGTCTCTTCCTTGCTATGGCAGCTATTCGGCATTGGCCTCTCCACCAATTAGATATTAAAAATGCGTTTCTTCATGGGGAGTTGGAGGAGGAAATTTACATGGAGCAACCTCCTGGGTTTGTTGCTCAGGGGGAGTCTGGTTTAGTTTGCAGATTGCGAAGATCCCTTTATGGTCTCAAACAATCTCCTCGGGCTTGGTTCGGAAAATTTAGTCATGTGGTGCAGAATTTTGGGTTGAAAAGGAGTGAAGCAGATCATTCAGTGTTCTATTGTCACACTTCACCTGGGAGATGTGTTTATTTGATTGTTTATGTTGATGACATAGTGATTACAGGGAATGATGCAACTACAATCTCTCAATTGAAGAAACATTTGTTTAGTCAGTTCCAGACCAAAGACCTTGGGCATCTGAGATATTTTTTGGGTATTGAGGTTGCTCAATCAAAGGAAGGCATTGTGATTTCACAAAGAAAATATGCTATTGATATCTTGAAGGAAACTGGCATGTTGGATTGCAAGCCCATTGATAGTCCTATGGATCCTAACCAAAAGTTGATGGCTGATCAAGGTGAACTGTTCACAGACCCAGAGAGATATAGAAGATTGGTTGGGAAGCTTATTTATCTCACAATCACAAGACCTGATCTTTCTTTTGCAGTAGGGATTGTTAGTCAATTCATGCAGGCCCCTCATATTGATCATTGGAATGCTGTTTTACGTATCCTTAGATATATCAAAAAGGCACCAGGACAAGGATTATTGTATGAGGACAAAGGAGACAGCCAAATTTCTGGCTATTGTGATGCTGATTGGGCTGGTTGTCCTATAGACCGACGCTCTACTACTGGCTACTGTGTGTTCCTAGGTGGAAATCTCATATCTTGGAAGAGTAAGAAGCAAAATGTTGTTGCTCGATCCAGTGCTGAGGCTGAATATCGTGCTATGGCCTTAATTACTTGTGAACTTATGTGGATTAAGCAACTTCTTCAAGAGTTAAAGTTTTGTG